CTAAACAGACATCATCCTATGGCAGGAGATCTAAACGCACGCATCGGTCGGCTGCTACCATGTGAACAGTCCTTGGTGGACCGCATGGCTATGATGATATTCGCTCTGACAACGGAGAGACTACTCAGTCTATGTGCTGACCACCAGCTTTTCCCCTCCAATACGAACTTTCATCACCCTGGACGCCACTATGCCACCTGGCGTCCTTCATCGTCAACCCAGCGTTGGTCACAAATTGATCACATAGCCATAGGTCGCAGGTGACGCGGCAGCGTACGCGATTGCATAACATTTTGGTCAACGTACGTTTAAACCGATCATGCCTTAGTGTGTGTGACAGTTTTGGTGGCTCACCTAGGGCTAACCCAACCCGATTGAACACCCACAAGTTGAAGGACCCAACAGTAAAAACGCGGTATCAACAGAGGCTTCGTGAAATTCTCACTCCTTTTCTCGGGATGTCGATCCACTCTGGTCAAGTTTACAACAAACCATGCTGTCTGCCGGCTTGTTCAGCTGCGGCCTCACTCGCTTCACGGCCAAAATCTGGATTTCTGTAAGATCCTCGGAACTGCTAGATCGTCCACGGGCTGAGCCCGCCGGTACGAAGCGCAATGATGAATTCCGTCGCTCCATCTCTCAACGGCTGAAGTTAAGCCTTTGGCCTGACCGTGAATTCTGGTGGTCAAAACGAGCTGCTGAGATGGAAGCCGCTGCTTTGGCAGGAAACCTCTGCAGTTTATCTTACCTCATCAGGACCACTGGTCACAATTCACATGCTATCAGTCAGAGGGGATGAAAATCACCAACTTACACAGACGTTTGCACCGCTGGGCAGAGCGCTTTGCTTTCCAATTTAACTACCCAGCACAGCCCACTGTGACACCTCCGTTTCCCTCGTATGGTGCTTGGCCTGTCCCCACAGCTCCTCCTGCGGAAGCAGTGATCCGAAGCACAATCCAATCCCGGCCTCAACAATCTACCCCGGGCTCTATTCAAAGATGCCACTGTTCACGAAAGTTCGGACTGACGATAAAGCCCCAATTGCATGGGAGAGTCGGTCGTTATCCCGATTCACAAGAAACGCTCTCGCGAAGATTGTGCCAATTACCGCGTTCCGTGATATCTGTTACGTCCAAGATGTTCGCGTCTGTCCTACTCCGCGGTTGGATATAGCGTTTCCCTAGAGGAACAAGCCTGTTTTCGTCCAGACGGAGGATGCATCGATCAAGTCTTCACGCTCCGCCAACTTCTAGAAAACCATCGCGTCTACCGACGCCCAACCATCGTAGTGTTGTTGGACATCTGAGCGGCATTTGACTCACTAGGTAGATCTGCGTTGTTGTACTATCTACTGAGGTAAGATGTGCCCGACAAGTTTGTAACAATCCTGAAGGAATTCTACAGCCACACGTCGGGCAAATCAGAGCATACAACAGGCTTTCCTCTTCGTTTTCTGTCACCAGCGGCGTTCGCCAAGATTGCCCTATTTCCCTTTTCCTCCTCGATTTTGCCATGGATGATGTCGTCTAACGGGCATAGGAATGCGGTATTGATCTTTTCTCAGGGGACAGTTGTGAATTTGGACAACACCGATTATATCGCTTTGCTTGGAGACGATTCACAAGCCGTCCAGAGCGCTTTGAACCGCTTAGCGATGAAGTCGTCTAAGTATGGCTTGTATTTCACCCCAGGCAAATGTAAAATACTACTCCGGGATTGGTAGATGCCCATGCCTGCCCTCATCATTGCTGGTGACGTCCTGGAACAAGTCCCCTGCTTCACTTATCTAGGGAGTTTCATCACTGTTGGTGACGGTGTTGGAGATCAAGTCTCACAACGGATTGCAAAGGCCTGCCTTGCATTCATCAGACTGAGACACCTATGCTGTCATCGCAATGTCAAGCTGAAGGGCAGGGTGTACATTGCCTCTGTCCGTGCGGTTCCCTTGTACGGCTGTGAGACCTGGCCTATTCGCTCCGAAAACACAAAGCGATTGTCAGTTTTTGACAATCGTTGTCTGCGTAAGATTGCTCGCGTGTGGTAGCAACTTCACGTAAGCAACACAGAAGTCCGAGAGCGAGTGCTTGGAGCAAACAGCGCATGCCTCCAAAGCACTGTTTTCCGACACCGCATACGTTTGCTCGGCCAAGTATTACGCGTACCAGCCTATCGCCCTCCCCATCGAGCGTTAGCACTCCCCGGAAGCGATTGGAAAAAGTGTCGTGCTGACGAGAAGAAGGAGCATGAACAAAACAACATCGAGCTGAGCATCCGTTGGATCGGTCCGCCTTACAGGATGGGGACCACACGACTCGGACTGCCAGCGGTTAGAAAAGCTGGACGTTACGGCGTGCAACGGATATCAGTGGCAACAGTGTTGTTCGTTCGCATTATAGCGTGTGTAAAACCCAAAAAATCGTTTTGCTTCCGCTGTCGTGTAATGTTTTCCCCTTTTCTTGCCATGGTTCTAATGACGCATTGTCTGTAATCAGATAGCGAATATATATATATATATATATATATATATATCCTGATTAATGTTACGCGTTTGCCGTGATTCCATTTTCTTTGTACTCTGCGTTAACCCCTATTCTTACCGCTGTTGTTTACTGGAGACAAGAATGGTGACAACTGGATCCACTGAACTTAACAACTGTTATGGTCTTATATAGTTTTGTTCACACTAATATCATGGTCTAGCTTCTTTTCAGATTCCAACTGTGAGTCTTTTTCGCGCTTTTCATGGATCATGTTTATGTTATCCTCTCAGTTATTATCACCTACGAACGAGGAACCTCCAAGCAGACTGGTATAATTTAGCGCACCCATATCCATGCAAGACACCTGCAAGCTAGCAATCGCTCGCGAATATAAAATTATCAACGTCCCTCAATCTCCAGGTCCACTCTACTTGCGCGCACCTCCTTTTCCATAGTGTTCTTATTCAGCTTACCACCAATAAATCTAGATCGCATGAACACACTCGTGCGGTCTGTCCGAAAGGTTTCCGGTTCTGTAGCTCAGATATTGAAAGGTATATTCTTCACGTCTCTGTTTTACCTAGTTGCTGTGATGTCAGCGAGATCACTAGGGGCGACCCACTCGAGTGAGGAACTGCTTATTACTGGATGCGTGCTGTTCGGCTTCGCAGTTTACGGCCTCGATTTGATACAACATTCTTGTGTGTGTACACTCGTCAGAAATGAATTTGATAGGCAGCTTTCATCCGTTAGATAGAATGGTCTGGAAACCAGTGTCCTTGTACTCACGGGTGCTTGATTAAGTAATCGGATCGGAACCACAGCGCTGACTGAGACGGCGTTTCAGATTTGATATTTATCGTACCGATCAAAATCTCTATGGCAGCACCATTAGAACGCTTAACCATGTAGCCTGTTGCACACTGTACCCGAATCGTATACGGTGAAAACATCGCGTTAAGTAAAAATACGGTAAGCAAAAGTATGGAGCTGAATTAAAACACCAGTCCTCATTGGCCTATCATGTGTGCGATCCAAGAGTCGCACGGTACCGCTCCAAACCCATTACGGAGATAGTCCACCTTCATTTTGGCTACCGCGCTGTGCGCCGACTTGCTTGTTCAACTTCTGCTGATCATCATAAATGATTCCATTTTTCGATTAGAGTTTGTAACGGTTCACCGAGCGACCGCCTAGAGGTACATTGCCCGCTTATAGTTCTGAGATAATCCATCCACCTGCTGCACCTTCTGGGTGCTAATCGTACCCACAGTTTTGCAATCTGCTAATGCGCAAGCATGTGTCTAATCGCCAATTCTTGTAATAACCTGATCTGTTAATGCAGCTGGGTTGCTGTATCTCTTCTATTGGTTAAGTCAAGAATATTCCACTTCGCGTATCGAAGACGTTTGCTCAGAATCGTGGTTTGGGCTACCATTGAAGACAATCGCTAATCGGTTTATCAGTGAAAGATTGGATCCAGAACGCTATAGTTTAACGAGCGTGAATTATTAGCACTGCTGACGAAGTGTTGCTCATATCCGGCGGAATCAGCTACTCGTCGCATCATCCTAATTGATAATCTTGTATTATCTAAACCTATCACCGCCGTGTTTTTGTTATCCTGATTCCATAGATTTTGTTCGCCGAGTATGTACCGTATGGTGCAAAGTTCCAATCTGGTAGTGCAGCAAGAAGAAACCGGCAGAAGGATCGATTTAGATTGATGTATGTTGTGTGCGACAATTTCTTGCATTGCCTGCATGAAACAGGGGATTCTACCCTCATACGCAATAGGAACATATATGTCGTATAAACCAGGTACAAAAATTTCGCTTGCAGATGAACCGTACCATCCAAGTTCTAATCGCTTCGAAATTTCGTTCACCTGCCCACCTGCCGCAACGCAGATGTGTGACGATAGCCAGTTGCTGAGTCTTGTATAGCCTGCTTCTACGTATCAGTTCAAGCACTCCATAGCGGATGTAAGAGCGACGTCGTCGTATGTTAACTAGCTTATCTCATCTAATATTAATCACTACCCATGAGGCTACGTTGAGTATTTTTACGAAGTTCATATTGTAGGAGGCCACCGTAGTAAGCCGGCAAACTTTGGGTCTTACATCTAAACGTTTCCTATCAAATTCGACCGTATTTGTTGCAGAAAGCTCTGGTGCCGCTACTTGCATTTTTTTCCGGTCTGCACTTCGATGTCTTTACGCGAAATCTAAGACATTTCAATCGTGCAGCATCGCAACAGCCAGTCTTCAACTCACTTGGTTTTCTGGGACGCATTTTACAAAATCGTGTTTGATTTCAAGGAGAAGACGCAAGGCACACTCATTATCACACTGCACATTTGTCAGTCAGCGAGAAAAACGTTCGAAGATATGGCAACTCCTCTTGTTGTCAACGTTCACCCTAGGCGCGGATATTTGTACAGTTGTAGATTGTGCTTTGTTTTCTGTATATGCATGAATTCGCTAATTCACCTTTACTTGTCGCAACATGTTTCAGTGCGCTAGACGTGAGGCCGATTACACCGCCTTGAATCAAGCTTATCAAATGATGTCTTCGGATCTCATTCAAGCAGGAAACAGAATAGCTGAGTTGGAGTTGATTCAAAGCAACTGTATCGGTACAGCAACTCATTTTCACGAAGAAGGGCCGCACCACTCATGTTCTCATGAGTTGCATCCTGATGGTGCTGTCTTGGACCAAGTGGTGTTTGAGCCATACGAAAAAGAGGTAAACTGGGTAACAGTCGCCGTTTTTGCTTACTTCCAGTTGCTTTCTAACATGCGTTCGTTCCATTACTGTAAATTGCTGGAACTTATTCTCACTAAATGCAGCACTACCAACTACTCGCTAACTATCCAAGCTAGAGCATTCAAGTAACACGAACATGGGATGTAAGTGCAAGTTAAACGGGCCAGTTGATGTGGGTATTTAATGTCTTTGAGAAGATTCTTCGCATTAGAATCAGTCAGACAACGACCACACATTAGGAAGGCGTTTTCCTAGCTGAGTGATGACTGAGTCTAGCTGCGACCGATCTTGTCTGCAAACGACGGTTGACGGCACCTTCGCTCGAACGGAAAAACATTGGGATGTTATCTGCGGGATCAGTCGAGACCGATTAGTGTGCATTTCCTCATGATCTGCTCATGGTCTAGTTCAGCTTTATGATTTATTTCCATGTCAGCATCCGATAGACAAATTTCGCTGATAGGCATGTATAATGCACAGTATTCGTTCGGTCCGCTGACTGGTCATTTCACAACCGTCACTGCTTAGTGTTTTACACTATTTCCCTACCATTATCAATTATCGATATCGTGACGACTTTGGATGATTGTCTAACTGTACTGAACTAAGCCCATCCTCACCAAGCCCTAATACGTAACGCTCGCTTCAGACCATCGTACTATAGAGTGATTACATCGCGAATAACCGTCAATCAAGGATTTCCTGTGCATATTTCCGAACGTTTGCACTTCGAGCAGACGGCGAGGTTAATGCCAGGCCGAATTGGTGGTGAAATATCCGCCAGTGGAGCACGCCCACAAGTCAGCGACGGACACTCAGCGGTAACCATACAGCTGGCTGACGTCAATTAGTCTGCCAAAGCATCCTACGCCTAGCACCAGCTTATGCACATTGTCACGTGGCTGTCTAGTTCGCCTCGATTCGTATTTTGACATGCACTCGCCTATCGGAATCCACTTTACTTCATGTTTTTCGTTAACAGTCAACGAGGGTGGCGATCAACCATCGTCAAGATCTTTTGGACGGCTTAGTACATCAACTTCAAGTCTCCTTCAGTTGGCTCATCGAACAAGACACTACCCGGGAAACGGTGGCCTACAAACCGGAAACAGACGACCCGATGGAATTGTTCACCCGGTGGGATCGCTTAGTGCGCTCGCTGATCGCTGAGCGAGACAAGGCGGTGGCCGTGCAGGCCGAACAGAATCGACGTCATACCGCCCACATTCGACAACTCCCTAAAGTCGAAGAATGGCGGGCTCTGCAGGTGTGTGTGTGTGTGTGTAGCAATACGTAGTGTTTTGGCGAATTGTCTTGTGTTCTTGCATCTCGAGTCTGGTACCTTTTAAAGGCGTTCCGCACGCATCACATTTGCGGTAAATGAAAGAAAAGCATCAACAGTACGCCGGTAGGTAGTAAGAACGCTACGCACCCATCAGTCACGCGTGAGCTAACAATACTGCGAGGGTCCCTTACGCGACCTTGGGATTACAAGGCTTACGGTAAATAAAATTATCTCTGGTCCTCCTAGTGAGTTATATTCTTCATTCATCATCTCTTCTACTGTGCTGTGCCGGTGGACATAATCCAACGAAAGAATCCCGCAACGTTTCACACACTTGAACGTTTAAGCTTGCAGCCCCATTGCAGTTGATCTATTGTGTACTGTGCTGAACATCGCAGTCTATTATGATGTTTTTGAGTGGTGATCTTACATCTCGCACTCGGTCCTCCCATATTACTCGTAGTTAGAGTGTTACCCACAGTTGCCTTGACTCGAGAAATACACTTTCTCGTAATGGAGGGCCACGGCGCGCTCAATTAAATAAAACAAAACAAAACTGGCCAACGTTGATAAAACAAATGCGTGCATTTATGTGCGCGATGTGACACTCTTATCTCCCACTTCAGGTTGCACATTCACAACTGGAATCGAAATTTACCGAATGCATGGAAAAATTGAGCAGCGCATCAGAGGAACGCTCTAGACTTGAGGGTATTGTGGCCCAGCTAGAAATGGAAGCTGCTACTGTTGGCGAGTATGTCACACTGTTCGCGCACAGGCGTGCAGCGGCTGCACGTCGCGCGCGTTCTCGCGAACAGCTACTCGAGCGATTTGTTCAAGATAGAAGACGCCTGCGATCCAGATTAAAGGCCATGAAAGAATTAGTTCCGAAATCCTTGGATAGCGGAGACATCAGTGCATCAAGTGATGGATCACCGTTGAAATCCGCAGGTAAGATGCAAAGCTTCCCTTGCATCAGATGCAGTGATTTGTTAACACTGTACGGAGAAGTGCGCGAATCTCTGGCGAAAGTTTACACCATATGCCTAACACTGTTTTATAGTACCTGTGTTCACCATGTTGATTGAACGCAAATGGGTGATGTACTTTTGTATTTTGGAATGAGATTTCTGTAACAGGCTTGTAATACCCACTTTCCTGGTTCGGGTTCCTGCATGGGTCTGAACACCTCTGTAGCATCTCGGCACACGTATAACCGATTGCAATGACAAAGCCACAAAGAATCGGTCCACAGTACTGGTTTATTGCTGATATCTTTGTCTCCGATTACTGTCGCGTTGATACCTTTAACGGTCACCTTGGTTCTAACACTTCGATACATTGTTCAGTGTATGGTCGGGACTAAATCATCGCTGGAGTCTAGTTCGCTCCAAGTGCATCGACTACAACTGGTGGCGAAACAGAACTTTACCACTCTAACCCGATGATGACTACTTGCATGCAGCAATCATGTATGCGTCAGTTACGTAGGCATTAATCGATCAACACGTGCCGACGCGGTTTCTACTGTAATGCATTCGCACATACCCAGTTTTGCTTCAATCGTCTACTCATTCATCACCCAACTCTTTCAGGGGAACAGCTACAAGATGAGTTTGTTTCCCAGTTCCGTCGACTGCTAGATGAGGTCGGCTCGACCGAGGAGGAAACGAAGACCGAAGCCGGCTTCCATCTTCTAAATGACGAAGACGCCGTTGACGAGTGTACTGCTGAGCCCAACGAAATGACAGCATTGAAATGTGCCTCGAACAGTCACACTTACACAACACTGGAACTGTTGCGAAGACAAGCTTTGCAACACGACTGTCCTCACTGTCAATGCTGTGTGGGCACCCTGTTGGAGGTGTGAGCCGTTCTACCAGTTGCCTTTTTGTCGTGGCACCCAGTCTTTCAGTCGTTCACTACTTCACTATTCTGGCTGTGGACATGCACGGTGTATTTTCCCGTTTTGACCATTTATATTGTTCCTCTCTCGAGTACTTATCTCGATGTTTCCCTGGTTTACCAGCCGTTTGTGAATATCGGTCAAAATGTTCGCATCAGCTTTTCGTTTTAACCCAGACTCAAATACTCCATGTCAGAGATTCTGACAAGCGTCCAACACAAACTTTATTACAAAGATATGTATGTACACATTTCTCATGCAACTTATGAATCATCGTGAGAAGTACTTCTCCCAGTGTGTTTTTCGATGCACAGGCAAACTCGTCAGTGAGTAGAGTTGCATGCCTGTTTCGGGGAGCAATTCAACGGAGTCGCGTACTTCAGGTATCCGCGTAAATCCATCGTCCACCACAACCATGCTATCCTCCACCGCGACATGCAACTTGTCATGGGGCATCAGCATGGGGTTGTGACCGGTCCACTTTTCATCGGGTTGTTTGTACCGGCACAACACATCGAACAATTCGTTCAGCTGAATTGTTTTGGAGCTAATCTGGGATTTGCCTGGATGACGCATGGCCCCTAACAGGCTGCTAATCCGTTCTGTGACGTATTTCGTCTCATTAGTTTGTCGATAAAGACACCTATTTGAAGGGGAAATAACGGAAAGTAGCGCTCACATGAACAAAATCGGGATGATCTGAGTGGTTTATAAGCTCATTAAAGACATGAACATATCGAAATCTAGCTGGTGACTTGTTGCATATTTGAGTACGCTATGCCTTATAGTTGGTGGAGTAGATCGAGAGAGAAAATGCGTAAATATTATGTACGCATTCTTCGCGGTCACATACCTGTTCAAATGATGAACCGCGATCAAGAAGAGAACGGGATGTCTGTCCTTGCGCACGCTTCCAGAAAGTAAGGCAGATGCGTACATGCAGAGAATTGATTCATCTGTCTCCTCTGGCTCCAAGAAGCTTTGGATCGGTAGAAGGAGCTAGTGACAGAAAAATAAACCAGCGCTGGTGTGTATTTAGCAAACATAAGTGAAGTGATACTTACCGTAAAAAGCCAGTGAATCGAAAATTCCGAAATCGAATCGAAGGAATGCAAACTATTACAGGTGAACAGTCAGAATCGGCAACATGAGATCTAAACCTTATTCCGCAATTGTTTAAGCTACGTATCATATGGAGGCAAAAGATATGTTCCGGTATGACAGCCAGCTACGAAACTCAACCTTACGAACAAAAATATCGCCTTTATGGCTCTATGGCCAAAGGGCTTTTGGAACAGATAACGTTCTGTGTGTGGTGCTGCGTGAGCCAGTTGGTAGCTAAATAGTCTCGGCTTGTGATACGATCAATCAAGAAATGAAACTATGGGGTCCACACCTAACAGCATACAGCAGTCGTTACCGCACTGTGGTTAGAGAAAATGATGCATTCATGTGGTTGATCGAACAGATGAATTGCCTAAGTTGATATCATGTAGGATATCGCCGCATCCTGATTAGAGGTTTTCTATGATCCAGAACGCAGTGTGCCGGTTCACATCATCGGAGTATCATTTTGTAAGGAAAAGTTGTGTTGTGTATGTGTTACAATCCACCACACCTTAAGCGAGAATATATGGTTATTGGCATGTTGTTCCGGATTTGTCTGCCAATGCGGCCTCCATGGATACAACCACAAAACGCCTGAGCTTACACACGGATCATGGGTAGCTTGCGCTACACCATCCACACGCCCCACATCCAGTGTAAACCGGTATGCATGTGGATAGGAGCCACGATTCATCAACGGAGCCGGTCCACACTCCTTCACGAGCAGCAGAATTCCTGTCTATCTAAGTTGAGAATCTTGTGTATCAGACGTATCTAAGGCGGTGGCTAGGCTGTATCCCGCTCCACACCGGATGCATGAACCCACTCTTTGAGCCTACCACGGTCAGGAGGAGCGCTCCCCACCTCCTTAAGCAACAACGAAGTGCCTCCTGGAAAGAATATAATCTAGGTAGCGGTATTCGACAGGTAGGCACATTATCAACATTCACATCAAGCACAGCCACACCGAGGATATCAAACACGCAAAACTGACATGGAATATACACAAGAATAAGAGAACTGAGCAAATCAAATAATGCGGAATATTTTTTATCCGAGTCAAGAAGATCTATCCTATTAGACGCACGCCGGTACGCCGCGCAACCACCATCGCTCGCACGTGGGCTACGGATATTGCGAGAGTCGCCAGGTTCCCTATGTGGGCTCGAACTCGCGCTTTCGGATTACGAATCAGGCTTGTGATCATTTTGGCTACCTCAGCTTGAGGTATGCACAGTCGTCTGCTCTAATGTGATGCCGTTTGATGTCACTTCGTGCACCGATTTCCTCTGCATCTCCAAGTAACTGCTGCATATGTAGGGCGGAAAGAGATATTCAAACCTCAAATATGTGAAAACTCGCTGACGCTTTAGTAAACTGCAGTAGGTGAACAATGCTCAGTCTGTCTATTATTGTAATTGAATCATACTGAGTTTGGCACGTCGCGCATTATACCACGTGCCGAGCAATCAATCTAGCGTGCATCTCGTTACTGCCACTGATTAATATGATCAATTGTGAGGAATCCGCCAAAACACTACAAAGTCTGGACTTTCATTGGCCACTTTCCCACATGAGCATTCTTCCGTGTGCGCATTTTTGTCTGTGGGATTTGTGCTGTGATCAAATCACTATACCATTTCTCAGTTGCTTGCATCCTTAACGCAATCACTTCCATCCTTGGTGTTGCAGCTTGCATCCTTAGCGCAAAGTCACGAAAATTGCATCAACGAAGCCCTGTGAGTGATCAGCCGTTATCAGTCAATAGCATTCGGACAATATGTTGGCATGACTGTTTAATCGCAGACGCCGTTGGGGCATAGACGTATCGGTTGATGACTTGCTACACGGACTTTAGTCATCCGCTCGTCTAAGTGTGCTCAAAATTGGTCAGTAAGGGTGGTGGAAGCACGGACTTGCTCACGAACTGGGTGCAAAGCCTGGGGTGTGAAAGTAAGGCGAAGTAAACACACTTCCGGACGAACTCAGACGTGGCGGTGAACATGTCCGAAACATGGGGTCACGCCCGTTGTGAATGTCAAAACGGTCCCACAGACGGCTTGAGCCAGCTAACGAGATGTCCGTTTCAGGTGAGGAACGAATGAACAGAGTGAACAATATTCTCACATGTTGAATACCACTCAGGGCGTAGTGGGTGCAATTTTCGTGACTATCGGATTATGGTTTTTGTGTTAAGGATGAAAGCAACTGCAATCAATTGAGAAATGGCATAGTCTGTTGATCGATGCCCTCTCGGTGTGTTTCAATATGACGCTCGGACATTAGCTAGTTTTGACCTTAGCCTCAGCTTGCCATGCCCTTCGGGGCAGATGATTGATTGGCCACGGATCGCGAGCTCCGTTGATCTGCGCTCGAGAAACCGCATCATCCTAAAACCCACAAGGCCTGTCCGAACCACGTCTGAATTTATCACGCCCATCGCCTGGGTGGATGTGAGAACGTGTGACATTCACCGCGGAGCCGACGAGTAAGAGTGCAAGTTCGGGAGTGAGCTGGCTCGAAAATCTTAATCGGGCTGCTCAAATTCTCCTTACAATTACTGTCTGGATCTATGCAATGTGGCACACTCTACATCGGAGAAAATGTACGCTTACCTGATCCAAACGAAGTCGTGCCGCTACCAGCGCACTCCGATGCTCTCCCCACAGCGCACGGCGATATTTTACGTGACACAGTTGTTGACATGGCCAAAGAATTAGATTGGAAAACACCGGCGCACTGTACGATAGGGCGGCGTAGTGCTCCAGCAGCTTTGCATATCTGCAAGGAGGGAAACCGTTGGTTGAATCAATCGTCTAAATAAACCATATGCGCAGTGTAAATTGATTTAGCTCATTATTGGAAAAAGATTATGAAAAATGCATTCCAGAGCTAGTTTCTATGACGATACGACATGATGGATCAACAAGGAGCGTAAGCTCTTTGAGCATCTCTTGCGTATGATATAGATGAGTCACTGCTACGGAGATAGCATAGCTCGATCTAAATAATACTTTCACCAAGCAGCGCAGGTCAAATTTAAGCTTTCTCCGAGGACACCGCTATGTCGACGTAGACTTCGCCGATTCTACCAACGCTGTCTTCAGTAATACTGCCGTCTCAGACCGCAATGACACTGTCACCACGCGGTAACTCATGTATCATGCTAACATTTACCTTCCTCTGTAGTTTATGCTTTACGCTGCTATGCTAGTTAGGGGTAGGAGAGCGTAGAAAGCGTGTTTGCCTTCGGCTGATCAGTAAACGGACTCTTACTATCGGCTATTCGTCTTTCTTTGCTAAGTCTTGGTGCAGTCATGCGGGGTGGTGTATTACGTCTTCAATTTTAGCTCACATGTACACACGCCAGGCAGCTAGGTGAAATTCAATTGACCATAAACGAAAAGCGTTTCGTTCGTTCCGGCTAGGCGTCGAAATAACAACTAGAGTGTTTTATCATACATGGTTTTTAAGAATCGCACACGAAGGAAGTGTTTCAGGAATCCGGATGAGTTAATTGCGCATTTACGTCCTCTGCAAACAGAGTTATGTGTGATTGGAAAGTGAATTTGAAGTACACGTTGTGTGGATGGATTGCGACGCGCAATCTCAAAGTAGACCGCGATTCCCATTGAAGTGAACCTTGACCATTCGATCACTAGGACCGTAGCTGATGAAGCAGCAGCAAATTGGGTGTTGCCCGCCTGAAACCACTGCACTCCATGACGCGTTTCGAGGTTATTTCCTCTCATCAGATAGAGATAGCAGGCATCGAACCCGGAACCATTGGGATGTTAGTTGTGACCGCCACCCCTAAGCCACCGGGTCACGACGGGCAAAGCTTGGCACAACGGCAAATAAGAGATTGGAAAGTGAATTTGAAGTACACGTTGTGTGGATGGATTGCGACGCGCAATCTCAAAGTAGACCGCGATTCCCATTGAAGTGAACCTTGGCCATTCGATCACTAGGACCGTAGCTGATGAAGCAGCAGCAAATTGGGTGTTGCCCGCCTGAGTTATGTGTGGGTTGATGACACTGCGGATTAGGGTGCTGAGTTCATGATAAGGTTATCTGACTGTATAAAAAGTGCAGCCGGTTGTAGTACACGCAACGACAAGAAACACACAACGTCCAGTGCAGCTACCTGTACCAAATCCGATAGATGTGATCGTGGAAAATGAACAATTGATGAGGTTAATAGTGAAGGTCAAAGTGAGTAAAGAGAAGTTGGTAGAAAGGAAGGAAAGCAGAAGTAGCAATTGAACAAGGATGTATTACGAGCAGAAAACAAACGCTTAACAATTCCTGTAGGTTGGTTAGAATGAGAACCACGAAATGGTGAAAACGCTGACAAACTGAGAACCGTTTTGATGGGGGTCACTATTGTGTTCACACAGAGGCATGCATAAAAGAGGACCTCAAGTGTGTACGGGAATGCTGGTTGTGCAGAGTTTGTCGCATTATATCGTCCGTCGATGTACACAGTGTATGTAAATGGGTTGGGACAATGTTAAGGAACGCAATTTGGGAAGGTGTACCATGGCTGACACAAACGAAGAGAGTAAAAGTTTATCCGAGATTACAGCCAACTGTACACTTGAGCTGGTGGCCCCTCGAATTTGTATTGTGACTGAGTTGCAGTAGGTGGCGGCAGACGTGGTTTGGGTTCCTAGTAATCTGGTAGGACGTTATTAAATCGCCACATAGGCGCCAATACTGACTGCTATACACTCTTAGTCCTCAGCTTAGATTTATATGGTAAGTGGAACAAACTTTTGACGTAACTAGTGGCTATTAGCGGTGGGGTCTCAAGCGCTGAAGATCTTGCTTGTGCCATGCCCGGATAGCGTATTCCACGTGAAGGTGCACGTATATGTTAAGCATCCGCGGGCAGACAGATGGATCAAACCGCCCGAATGCCCTCAGCAGCATACCAACGTGTTGGTTCCCAGTCTTTGACGTCTTCTCAGATTGTTTTGAACAGCCTGGATTAATACCCCAAGGTGTGCTTGCATCACGTGGTCTCCGAGCTTTATATGATATTCGGCTGATGACGGACGATCGGACCATCAGAATTATTTTAGAACAAGTAGCGCTAATTCGTGAGAAAATATTCATGCCACCAGCTTGATCCACTCTGGCTTCGTCAACTGAATGGCACTCTTTCCTACAGTATAATAATAATAATAATAGTATAATAACAATATATGAGCGACCCTTCTGAATCAGTACGGTTGTCGCTTTACAAAATTTTCCAACCTATCGCACCATCTTTACGGAAGACCAAGAAAATCATTCGCTTATATTTCTGTGGAATAAACGGCAATTGCAATTAAGGACCAGCGAGAACCTGTCCATAATTAGATATAATTTAGAAATCTTTCCATGTCAAATTTGGTCAAACATTTTGATTTTCAGCAATCTAAGAGTGCACTCGTGGAATCCAACTCAAAATCAAATACATGAATAAACGTTTATTCTCGACGATGCGAGACACGACTGTACGGTATAATCTTATAGGTTTCAAAAATATTACTTCGTATATATTCCACAAAACTGCATCATTCATCCATATTGAGTGCAGGTGCATAAATGAAGTACTGATGAAACTCGCTGTACAAATGATCGTTCCACCTGTCGAGAAATACACCCATTTATTTATTTACTAGGCGAACTCGTTAATCGAAATGCACGTAAACCGATTGGTGACTCACCAATTATTGATACGCTGACACGCTCTACCCTTAAGTCAAAATGATGAAAAACCAGAGAGCGTAAGTTGAACGATTGAATGTTTGGTAGCTCAGTACTTCTTAGAAATAGTGATTTTTATGAGAATGTGTTGGTTCTATGCCTTTTCTCAGCCGATTGAATCTATTGCGCTTTTATATTCCTCCTGATGGAAATCATGTTCCTTCACATATCTTTCAAGATGACCCATAACGCAGGTATGAACGTCCCTAAATACTACGGTCCGGTGAGTGACCATATTCAAAGCATACAATATCATCTCACTTCGTGTGCACATATGTTGTATTATCTGCTTATTTGAGCTTCGTCACTCAACGAATGGCACATGATTTTCAGGAGCATTTGCGCCCGTTGAATTCAACTTGTAAGCATTATGGACCATCTTGAAAGACCTGTGCGGGAACATGATTTTTTTAAGGAAGTTGAAAGCGCTATGGATTCAATTGGCCGAGAAAAGTTATAGATAGTTTGGGACAGTACTGGTGTCAAGAAACAATGGCTTAATCAGTACGGATAGTGGAAATCCCATCCAACCATGACATGCTAAAAAGAACAATGTTACGAAATGTGTAAAAGGTGAATAGAAATACAACATGGTTGGCAAACTCAACTCACATATCATAGAAAGAAGTGAACGAACGGGGTAGCCGCTCCAAATGCTCCAACGAGCATACTCCGACGGCGCGTCGTTGCAACACCGATATTGGTCCGATGGAGTGCAACAGTTTTGCCGATATTAGGCCGACCTTACCGAAGCCTAAACTGCCGGCGCCTGAGTAGGACAACCATCCGATGCAAAGATGAGACAAATGGCTCAAGGGGTCCAGTAAACCCACCGGATCGGAAGGATGTAGGTCGGCTTGCAAATTGGTGAGGAAGAGCAACCAGTTCAAGTTGCCCATCAGTTCCTCAAGACGGTGCTGTAGGACATGGGAAATAACTGCTACTTCAGGCGAACGAATTCACAAATAATATACAAAACCCCGTGTTTAATGCCTACATAAAACAAGATACTATCGAAATGTGCGGAAGTCGGCCGATAAGTTATCAAGGCAACCGTCAAACACCTCTACGTAATCTCAGGATAACGGCGTCGCACCGTAACACAAAGAGAGAAAACAGATAATGAAATGAGATGAAGGAACAGAAATGTCACACTGCGACTGTGGTAGGAGGATGCTTAGGGGTGAGGAAAGCGGAATAAGAGAGGGAATATGAGAACATGGAATTTGTTACAGAATCATAATAGCACATGCGCACATTACAGATAATTATGACAACTCAGTTTGCAGAGCGCTACAGCAAAAGATCCAAAATGGTAAAGTTATTCAACGTCACTCATGTATCGCATCACGGATGATGGAAAACGTGTTAGTAGCCTGGTTAACACAGACTGCGGCGTTAAAGTATTGGGCACAGTGATTCCCATTTTTTCGGATTTGAGCGCTTAGCGGATGTGAGTTAGGACAGGAATGGATAAAGTCAGTCTCAGTGTGCCACCAGTCCGAGTGACTAGAGTTCATGTGCACATATATAATTGTAAATCCGGACAACGGAAAACCCAAGAATAAGATATAAGCTGGAGTGTATGCATTTTGCATCACGGTGTGAAAGGCATGAGGTAGTCAAAGATTGTTTGGGACCAAAAAATTTCAGGTGTTCGAGTAATCTACGCACAATACATCAAATATCGTCTATCCATCGAAAAAACATATGCAGTGTAAATATGGATATGAAATCGAAACGTTTGGTAATGCATTACACGCTTGCCTCTTGTTCGCCAACAGATAATTCCCCATCACCAGAAGCGAGGCGGCGCTGAGAAGCCTCATAGTGATAAACGATTGGTAGGTAAGCCCAATCATAAGGTACCAGAGTTCCAACCACGGACTCTCTTGGAAGGTTGTGCTTCGGATATTTTTGCGTTGAGCTGCAGACATTCAGATTAGTAGGAGCACGTGGTTCAGTGTTCATAGCAATACCTGAAGGAGAGTTATTGCACACTTCAACTATTCCAGTATCAACCAGCTACAATTTAGATGAATGGGGCCAAGACTTACCGGTTTTGTAAGGAAACGAATTGAGAGGTGTACTTTCGTTGGTGAGGTCGGAGACCAAATGATGTCGAACCATCTGCACTATGTTGCATAGATCAGTGGTTGAATGGCTGCTCGCGAATACCTTTAGCGAGCAGTCCTGTCTACAAAAGCGACCAGAAAGAAATACAATGTTAGGATGTTTTCCGCAAACTATGATAAAAAAAGTGAACATGCACAAGATGCACAGCATAAATACTACACTAGATATCTCTCTATTAACGATCTTGATTGAACTATACCTTCAGTCAGAAGTAACAGATATAGACCTGCGTTGCTCAAGTGAAACAAACAAAGTCAGCTTTCTAGTAGTTGCAGCATGAGCTAAGTCGGGTAGGACGGCAGTAACCCTAGGTTGACTGATCATTGAGTGGTCACTTGATAACGGTGGTTCTAGAACATGAGCACTATGCACACGCTATTCGCAGCTGGTCAACATCAGATCGAGGCACAAACGCAGTGTAATGCGTGTCCGTTGGCAGATGTCTTGTGCGGACCCATTCTCAAACATCGTCTCCGTAAACTCCGGCTAAACTTCACAATGCCTGGTGAGGAGCTAAGTTAAAATCACCTATGAGCAGAAAGCGGAGATGACTCTTGTGATTTTGGGCATGCTGCAACTAGTCCAAACAGCGATTTCGCTGACTGTGATAAGCTACACTTACGAACCGTCCTACACGCCTCGAATACCACAGGTGCTCGCATAGGCCATCTTCGACTCGACAGATGCATACGAGTCTTCCGCACAAAGCAGACCGAACGTATAGCGGCACGTCACCGCGGTCGAACCGGAAGCACCAGCAGTAGTTGAGCTGAACTTTCTGGAGAGCTATCACAGGATTCAACAAAGTCATAGAACGTCGGGTTACCGAAAGGCAACAAAGTGGTACAGCTCGTAAGATTTGTTCAAACATTGTTATAGCCTAAACGCAAGCAGAGGTAGAAACCGCTAGGCGAGCAAGGAGTGTGTCATCGACCAGTTGATCAAAATTCGGAGAACACGAAAAACTTTCCAAAAATTTACAATGCGGAGATTTATTTCACCACCAACAGTACATCGCCTTAGTTCAACGATAGTGGACTATTTTGGGCGAATATGGAGCTTCGAATGACTTAGCCTACTGAGGAGGGATATACCATTGTCGGACTAGCTACATCAAAAAATGACACGCATATGCCGATTCTTCTTTTCACCTCTTTCCATGACGAGTGATTTGCTTCATCCTCAATTTCTCTTCAGCCACGTCAAGGAGTCTATCAATCAAACACTGCAAAAATTCGAGGCCGTGGTAACAACGAGCCTCAGAACTTGCATCAGATGACTCCGGCGCATAAAATATCATAAGGTTGCAACGCCCCCGGTCGCTAGCTGTTGCTCCCACTTTCCATCACTTAAGCTATCGCGCACTGGGACATTAGAACGCAACACGTATGAGACGTTATAAAGAGGTTAGAAACTGAAATGATCTTCACTACAAAAGGACTGAACAAACGGTTGTCATAGTTCTACTGGAAATGGAGAACCGTTCCATCACACTATGATCCAATGGTAACAGGGGGAATCGGCGGAGTCCAAGGCCGTAATCCATAAATTACCGGAAAAGGACTTAAGCAAATTGGTCATCACAGTGGTAAAAGTGGGCTAGTGAGATAAAGCAGCGAGTAACAGAGCAAAATAACAACGAAAAAGCAGTGTTGTTCTAGATGTGACTTACTCGTTTCAGGCAGACGAAGCCTGCATTCGAGTGAAACAATGTGCCGCTTATTTGTGTATCGATAAAGCTTTTCGGTATTCGATGAAATCCAAAAGGGAATATTATTGAGATGAGAGAGCACTTGTGAATGCGGCTAATAAGTGTATTGAGCCTCATATGGAGAAATCAAAGGAAGTCTCCATCTATTCAGCTTCCTGGAAAATACGCATTTAGCAACTGAGGACAAAATGACGTTAATCACTCCGTTCACCAGTGGTATTTGTTCTTTTTGTGGTAGTCATGCATCAGACCTTTTGGTGCCGACTTGTAACTAATCACTGGTGTCGTTTTAGATATCCACCACAACCAGTCGCCAGTTAGATGACCGTACGCACGTCTGAGAAATATTGGGCTGCCATTTCGTACTTGCCTATAGCGCACATTTCCTCCACACTCCAGTGAGTCGAACCAATTAACTTTGTTTAAGGTGCGCGGTTTGTACCACCAGCTCATGAGTGAGAGTCCGTTGATGATTTGAACACTGTGCGCCACCAACAGAATGAACCGGCCGTCCACTGCGCTTCACAACCTGTGTGGACCCAACTGACTGGGCTACGACGGATCCCTGGAGAAGTTAAACCACCCAACTCGACGCTTATACTTTGTTTCTTAACTGACAAGGTTGTTTATTTAGTTGTTTTAGCATTCCCGACTTGTCCCACCGTTGTCAGTTATTGTGACTGTAACGAGGTCAATCAAGATAACTAGGACCACGACGACTCGGTTTTGAAACCATGCCATTCTCGGTTCAGAGCATCGATGGAAAACATTATGTTTTCGTGCTAGAACTCGACAGATGGGGCAAGATTATTGCGGCAAAATAAATCCATTTGTTTAAAAAACCAGGACTGAGCGCAGGCTATCAATTGTGACGGAGCGTGTGAAACCCAAAGTAGTGTCGAAGGTAAGGGGTAAGGGGTCGTAAATACCCAGTGGCGCATAACTATATGTATTGCAAGTGCAGTAAGGTGTAGGGCAGTTACAAAACAATGGTACGCAAGCAGTGCAGTAGAAGAGCCTGGCACCCTGGCGTTTGTGTCAACTATCTCCTGCCACGTAAATGACCCATCTGTGCCTCCAATTTTGTCGCGGACATTTCTCATTGACCACCCAGTGGGAGTAAAGCAGGCTAACAGCCAAAATACAGCCGTCTGTATCTACCAGTTCAGGGTGCACTCTCTGATAACTTTCTTATGTACATTGTATCGGGGGGTTGCCTGAGGACTTTTCCCCAATTCAACTGTATGCCACAACTAACTCTAAGCTCATGTAGCTCATGCAAGTTGCGAATTCCAGGAATAACCAGCTTACTTGATTTACGAAGAAAATAGATGAAAGCACAATATATGGGGACGCGTGACTCGATAAAGTAGGAAGCAGAGGATGTATCATACAGCTACCAGATCGCCGAGAACTCATAAAGCTTGAACCATAAGTAGGTTTAACTTCAAGCCACTTAACTTACCGTAAAACGAAGTCAATTTGTACAGATGAAGACAGAATGTCACTCAGCAACGAGTCTAAAAGCCACAGTTGTCCACCTCGAAGGAACGGCAGTAGCCGGATGGCTGCGATGTACAGTAGATTGCCTTTGGTATGTAGACACAATCGTTGTGTCAGCGCGGAGGACAAGGGGCATTGCTGGGCGACTAGCTGCAACGAGCAGAAGGAAAATGGTGGTAGCAGACGAGACCAAAAAGAGAAACAGGAGCATTCTGTGTTGACTGGTTGCTCTTGATTTTGACCGATGTTTACTTATTTTATTCATGGTACTTTGACATTACGTTACCTCCAATCGCGTGCGGTCTAATGATACCGTGAACTCATATGCACATACACAGACTCGAATGGATTATAAGCCAAACACCTAAAATACTCGATCAATGGCCTGCCGACTTAAAATGTCTACCTGAAGGCAAATCGTGACACAAAATGGGGTTGCATGTCACAACTCAAGCATGTTGCATGCATTCCAATATCGAAACGCTAATTCGTAGCCGCCAAGTAGTGCTGATTCCCAGCCCGGGTCACCACTATATGGAGAGCGTAAACAATAGGGCAAATGGAATGAATTGCAGTGTTGAAAACGAGCAACAATGAAAATGAGATTGCTTCAGTTGCGGTCTCAGTGACAAAAATGACCAAGGTTAATGTCAAAGTGGAAAGCGGTTCGCGCTCGGCGCTGTATGTCGAAGTCCAAAACATATACCGGGCAGATGATGATGGGTGAAAATGACCGCGATTTTTGTACCCAGACCTCAAATGAGGAAGTCTAGTTTAGCCAAGGACATATCTGAGATACCTGTCTTACATCTCGTGTGGTAGAGTAAGCTGTATGGGCGGATAAACAGCAATGAACTTTAGTGCCAGTAGACAATCGTTCATCTACGGATCGCTTTGTCAAGAAGCAATGCGATGAAGTGTCATGGTGCTAGAATGGGCATGTTCTAACGAACCAATCAGCAGACCTATAGTCCAGTTTAGCCTGTGCAAATTTGAGTGGTGGGTCGATAGCCCGAAAGGAAAACACGAGCAGATTCGCTGGGTGTCTGCGGCAAGTAACCTATGCTAAATAGGGTTGGAGTCGAAAACATCACTCACTAAGATGTCCAGACAGTTGTTTCTTACTCAACTTTTGGTCGTAAACAGAACGGTTGTCCCATTATGTGAGCGTCCTTTCCCCTAGTGGCTCACAGGCGAAAGTCGGTAGAAGAGAAATCTAATCTTCAAAAACACAACTGAGTCCATCAGACAAGGTTGCTAGTACCATGAACGTGTGATTCCGTATAATGAAGAGGCCTAAAAAAACACTTAAGTGTTCTTTACGAGAAAGTGCTTGCTGCGCGCAATAGCTTTACTATGAGAGGGATGTGATCAAGCTGAGAATATCGGACAAGAAATTGTCAATATATGCACAAAGTAGTGTCAAACAAAGAAGCCGCAAATATTACTAGGAATCACAATGCAAAATCGAGAGTTGTGAATACATGTTCAGAATTTTGCCGATTCGCAGGGGATTAGCGGAGAGTATTTGCTCTAGAACTCACCTTTGCAGACATCAGCAATGCTCGTCCTAACAACTCCGCCTCGAAGGCAACCAAAAGATGGGGCATCGCGTTCGAAGTATCCACACCAGTTCGTAGCCACGGTAATGGTCGCTTCAGTGCAAAACGAGTGATCCAATCTATCACCGGTGATAAGAGCTTCTCCGGAACAGTGACAACCATGTGAGCATGCCAGTCGATGAGTAGAGCCTCCAGAGCAGAGACGAGAGCAGACAAAAGTGACAAACAGTGCGGATTCGTAGAACTGGAAGACAGTGTGTCGCTCTCGTCTTCGGCACGAAGCCCGGTGCGAGGCCAGAATAAACAGGCCAAATCACTGCCGGATGAGAGATAACGAAAGCAAACGCGACTACCCCAATCAGGAAGACAACGAGTACCCAAGTTTACCGGCTCCAGCAAACCAGAATCGATCGGAGTACGCATGGGCATATCGTACCAGTTAAAGCTTGTCTTAAGCGCTGAACAGCTGTGCTTCTTTGGCGGCGCGGCTGAGGAGAAATCGGATGATGGGGGAACTGTAACAAGGTCCACGTCGTAGATAGAACCCGGTTGACCAGTCAAAACACTCCCAAAACTAGGGTTGAGGGGATGGAAAAAGTAAGCGATGAATAGTGAAGCTCACGAGAAATTGAAATAATTTTCCTAATATGAATGAAGTAAAAATAAAGATAAAGGTGTCCGACGAGTAATTATCTAAATTCTGAAGGTAGATCTCATTACGATGATCGTCGGATAACTGCAATACACTGTCTGAGCGTTTGTGATATGGGATGAATTGCGGTGTTTATAAGGAGAGTCCGGAAAATAAACCAGCCATACGCCAGTGTTCTCGCACGTTTGAACCGGTAAAACAAGTGAGCAACCAATGTAGCAATGATTAGTCGGAAAGTAGTGTTTTGTGCCACGAGATGCGGCGTTAACAGCTGAATAGGACGCGTAACAACAAACAAGTTCAAAAGGCTGCCCAATCGAAAATGCAGTGAATTCGACAAGGATCGGTGGTAAAATAGACTCACTGAACTGAGAACATACAGCAGTGGCTAAAGCAGTAGGCCACTTCACGACAGTTACTTGGAAACCAAATATGAAATACACCACACTGAACGTATGATTGTAGTACATTCAAGACAACAATCAGACAGAACTTCTATTTTATAAGATTCAGCCTGATATGGAATAAGCTGCCTAGTTGTCTACGAGGTACAAAAAGCTTGAGCGTATTCAACAAAATGATTAAGATATTCCTGATATCAGCAAAAGTAAAATAGATCTTAAGTTTGCAAACGAACAACGATAGCTTGTTTGAGGGAGGACCGGGTCATATTTAAGACAGAAAGATCACGGCAGCCATTTGTTGTAGATGATTTGTCTATCTGTACGTTTTATTTCCAATATCAATTGAAACCTGCTCTGTGTTAAATTTATCCGCACATCTCATTTCTTTTTAATGCCACCACTGAGCGACCATTAAAGGATATTTCCTTTGCGAGCTATTGGCTGGAATTATTGAATTGATCGGCTTCCGATTTCGATGGTTTCAAATGTTCATATTTTGTGATAAAGCAACCACAACTGCAGACACTATCAACTGCATTCGGATTGTCTTTACTCCTCTTTATTTTGTACAAAACCGTGGCTGGAATGCAACCATTCTTTCTCTCAGAAATTCAGTACCATCGTCGTTATTCACCAAGACTTCATATGAACTCGTGATTGGCCTATCTGCAAAATACTTTTTAATTCCTCATACTACATATTCTGCCTTATTTTGCTGTTGGCCAAGAGTAGGCTGATCTCTTATGATGACGTATTACAGCTTCTAAATTAAAATATTATGCCATGCTAGACATATTGCCACTGACTCAATGGCGTATAAAGAAAAAAGTGCCATACTTGAATGATCTGCTTGTCGGTTTCTGGCTGAGGTTTCATCGCCCATAATGCGTGCATAAAATGGCCTTTAAAAATGTGTTAAACTAGTGACGGCTTACATGCTATTTTGCTACAACGATACACTGTCAGTTAGAGCAAGGAAGTGCGGGTGTAACCCATCCAGGAATACCTCGCATGGACGCAGGTCACTTGGAGACGGTTCCACGGATGGCCGTATTACTTTACTTGAACTTTTGCCTACACCTGCATCTGTTATTGTTTTCATTTTCTTAATCACTCGGATACCTTCAAACTACCAATCACTTCAGAAACCCATATGGGATTCGGTACGAAATATGCACAATTAACTATTTTATGCGATCTCGTACAGAGTGATCAGGCTACTCAGTTGGACTGTGTTTCGCGCCGTCGAGGAATAAAACGTTTATTTATTTAACCATGATTGAAACATCTGAGTGCGATGAAGCAAGCTGAAGTGATTCATGTTACTATGAAAATGGCGTGGGAACAGTGGAAGCAGAGAAAAAAAGGGATACAGGTAAACGGAATGTGATGACCGGTAGTAACAATGCACTCTGTCGTCGGTTTGCACTCGTCAAGTAGAGAAACTGTGACTAGATCAGAGCTTGTGTATAGTGTCACTGCATACTGATAGGTGTAAGTAAAAATCTTAATATGTACAACTCCATCGAACTATGATCAAAAAAGGTTAAAAAGGCAATCTATGACTTGCCAATGCCCTGATAGTCTTACAAGCTCTTACGTGATATCGTAAAAAACCTATGACTAACAGTAAATCGGGACTCATAAATTTGAGATGACAGTGAATAATCATTCCCAGAATTCAATATCTGAGAAATGTACATCCAACAATCATTTGAACAGCTGCACTGGGTGTGATTCCGGAAACGTGTTCCAGACATTGATCACTCACCGTTCAAAGCACATGGAATGAGGAACTCACTTCAGATCTGGTATTCTGGTATTCGCGTGTACTGAAAGGTGACCGAGAATGCAGCAGTGGCCTCAACATGGAGAAGTCAACTAAATGTATAATGCGGTAGCTCATGATGAGGTCGACTCGAAATCGACGATAGACCAGGGTGTATAGTCCGAGCCTCTCGCACTTGTCCTTGTACGGTAATCCCCACAAATTGTTTGCGGCTCGTGGAGACGTGTTTGACCCGTCCAATCTTCTGCGTCTCACTTCAAATAGTCGGGCAATAAGTAATCGAGCCGTACTCTAACATTGATCTGATGATGGATGAGAAGTGATGTGTGGCAACCTCCTCAGACCAGATGCAGAAGCTGCGTCTGAGCGCCCAGAGCATGTGCAGTCCGTTACGAAAGCCAGTTAGTGTTGTCCACAGAGTTCAAATCATTCCGCGAGTGTATACCTAGATCCTGCACCAAAGGTGTGGTCAAGAACGTTGGTTCGGTCATCGTCACCCATCCCTAGATTTATGAATACCAATTTGGATGGACTGACCGTGAGGTGGACCTCTGGAAGATCACATGGAAATGCGGTTGAAATCCTGCTGAAGTAAGCCGCAGTCGTCGGAAGTGTTCAATATTCTCCACATCTTCAGGTGGTTTGTAAACAGGGCACACAGCGACTGAAGCAGATCGTTGATATAAATCAGGAACATTGTATGCCCCAGCACGGTGCCTTGGGGTAGGCCATTGGTCGAAGAATACCAGTTGGTCAGATGGCTATCGACTTGCGTCCTCCATTTTCATCCAACGAGAAGCTCCCGGATCCACTGGTGCAATGAGCCGCCAACACCGCATGCCCTCAACTTGTAGAGGATGACCCCATGGTTTACCTGTCGAACGCTTTGCTAAAATCGATTTAGATTACGTCGGAGACTTCCCCTGGTTCATTGCTTGCCTTGTTACATGGATGTGCATGAACGGCCTGGTATGAAACCATGCTGTGCGGACGTCAGATCTTTCGACTGGAACAGTTGTAGCAAACTCTTGTTGACAATCTTCTAGGCAACCTTATCCAAAATAGATGTCAAACAAACTGGCCTGCAATTGTACACTTTGTTAGGGTCACCTTTCGGAATCGGCATTACCACTTAGTATTTTCAATAAATTGACAATGAGCTTTCGGAAAATGTCCTGTTGAACAGGTCAGTTACGGCAGACGAGATGATGCCTTATAAGAAGTTGAGAATCAGGGGATGGAGCCCATCAGGCCCAGAAAGTCTAATGCTGTCAAGGTTGGCGAGTAGTTGACGCACCTCTTCTACACGACAATCCAGATTGTCGAGTTCGGTCAGGGCGATGTACGCCGAACTCGGTACAAACACCGAGTCATTTGTAAACAAGGAAATGAAGTGCACCGACAAGGCGGACGCACGCTAAGTGCTAGAGTTTAGGGGCTGTCCATCCGTGTCCTCTATCAGTGGCAGGTCACGTGTCAGCTTTAGGTGCCGCTTCACATACACAAAGATTCTCTTCGGGACTGTCTTCGCTGCGGTGGCATGCTACTCTTCGAAATGCCGGTGACTGCTTGTTTTCGTACCGCTGCAAATATTTCGCTGTTTTTCATACCCATAGATGTTTACCGAGGTAGAGATAATTCTGGTCGTCGAGGAACCAAATTAGCACCCAGTGAAAATCTACAACGGAAAGCAGTGTTTCTAATTCAAAGATGCTGATCAGTACATAATTGCTGTATGTTCGGCATGCATCAACACAGAAACGGCCATCCAGGTATTGTTCAAGGTATTGTAGACGACCCATTTCGGCATTCACGTCATCAGCAAAATGCACAGTATCACTAGTCTTCGTCATACAGATAGGATATGAGAGCATACGGCAGAATTCGTCTCTAATGCCCTATGCACTGTAGTCAGTCACGGACAAAAACAGAAGCGATGAAAAGGCCTTGTTTTCAGACGGTGCTTAGTCCAAAGTTGAACCGCACACAAGCGGCTGTTCACTGGTATCCAGTCTACTAGATTGGCTTCAGCATTTTTGCTGAGGGGGACATCCACATCATAAAGACTATGGATCATGGACTCGGTGTCTCAAGAGAAGCGAAGAATTTACTCGTCAGCAGATTTGGAATCCGTGAGTTGAAGATCCGTCACAACGCCGTTATGTGTTTCGGAGGCTTAGCAAGCATCAATACAAAGAGTGAGGGGTGAGAACTAGTGCTGACCGATGTAACCCAGAAAGCAGATCGTTGTGTCCGCCTTGCTGCTGCTGGCAACCACTAACGGTAGTGAGAACACAAAGGAGTGGAAACAGGACTCGGGGTTCTTTCCTAGGAAAACAGCACGACGTATACAACGTCGGTAACTGTAAACGCCAATCAGAGCACTAAAAGCCCGCGACCAGATAAGGTCAAGATGGATGAAGAGTCAGATGCACCCGACGAGAGGAGAGAGCGTTAGCATCAAGGTGGAACTGTGTGATGACAGAGTTCCATTAAGATATGCTCGAGCCTTGCTACACGCAACCTCGAAGATCTGGAACAATTCACAATTTACGCACCCTTGACCAGCGTAAATGGCGGGTAGGATTGGCGGATTGACCAGGGGTTGCCTGACCTGAAGTGGGCGGTAGCAAACTATTGAGTGCCGTGTGGTGCTCCGCCACCGTGGCAATTGTGGCATACGCCAATCGAGCTGTGAGCTTATAACCCGTAAACCTGTTGTTTTCCAT